TTTGTAATGACAAATTTTAAATGGCTCTGCTCCGGGGCCTTCGAGTGCAAAGGGTTAATGTATTGTTGCGCGATTGAAATCTTGTCTTTAACTGAATACACTGTAACCACGCATAAGAGTAGGATTTAAGGACAATGGGATTTAAGATGCGAGTTCCTTGTAAAGAGATAGTTTAACAGAGGACCTTCTTTGCGATCGCATATAATGTCACAGACATTGTTAACTCATACAGGCACGTCGAGTATGTACTAAACTCATATGTCGACTGATAGACTGTTTCAATGAAATAAATAAATAAACAGTGTATAGAAGTGTATGGCAACGATGTATAAGGTAGCCAATGTGTACAGGCATGATTGTTGCAAACTATAAAACAGTATTCCGCTGTTGGGAAGCTATCAAACTTGTAATAGTAGATTACATAATTATTCTGTAGGTATTGTGTAAAGAATATTTATTCCACATATCCATTCCATATTTATATATATTACACATCACAACTTAACATAGTGATATTATTCTAGAAAATCTTTCTGAATTTTTTCAATCCAAACGCATAAGTGTACATGTATAAATTCACAGATTTAGAGTTAATATTCGTAAATGAGACAGTTGATACTCGTTTACGATACACATTGACAGGTGCCATCCAACAATCGTAGCGCGTGTATATACGATACTCACGAACGAATGTCCGCGTTTATGAACAAGATGCTTGACGTAAATTGCATTTACATGGTATACTCGCGATATACAAGTGTGCGCTTAAGAAGATCATTTTCGAAGATAAAGTGTAATGAAAGTATTTATCATTCCCTTTATTTTCAAAAATTCAGTGAAACAGCACTGTTATTGTGAATTTCAGAGATTAAATAAGTTTAACCTGTTAACTGTGGAATTTAGTTTCAAAGATCTGTCGTTTTGCGGGCAATAAAATAAAAAAATTAAATGCGTACTCGTTAAACGTAGGACGAATGCACCTAGGGTATATTTGAATAAAAACCCACAGCAAAACAAAGAAGAACTACGTGTTGATGTGAAGACAAAAATAACTCATCGTTGAAAGATGTAGTACCATATTTTTAACAACATATATTTTTCGTATACGTCACTGTATACGGTAATACTTACTGATCCGATTCGTGAAAAGTCGTATTGACGGATTATCATGCTTCAGGGAGGCTTTGTGTCGTTGATAACTTGAAAATGATATCGAAATTCGAATCAGTTGTCACTCTTGATTTTCTTCCACTTTGTATGTGAAATCACATTGAAAAGAACAATCATATGTAGTGGAACACCCAATATATACAGTACCGGCAGAGGAGAAGATTCTCGCGTACCTATGTATATTTTAATTTAACAGATAAACAATCTGCGACAGAAATGCACAGAAAATCATTAGCTATCGAGTAATCGGTTTTTGTATAAATTTTACAATATGTTATATATATTATTGTTTTTGCATTCGAACAACAGCATTAAATCTATAAATTAAACGCTCTGAATCTATTTCACAACAAAGGAGAAATTTTAGAAGGTACATTTTGATTTTTACTCGCATGCAGAAAATTGGCATCACAGGGAATAGAATAGTAGCACTTTTATTATAATTTTTAATTGGATGACATAAGTGTTGCAGAAATATTTGGCGTTTATAAATTTTAATAATCGGAATAAACCACACGTTAGAAAGTTAAATAATCCTAAAGAAAAAAGGATGTGTATCGTGTGACGGTGCAGAGTATTATTGGAACTTACGAAATTTTTGTTTCCAAATTTTGATTGTATCTCGCATTTGTAGAAGCTAATATTTTATATTAATTTAATCCGATATGTATTTTATTTCTTTATTCCTTTGTTCTTATTATATAGAATTATTTTACATAAATTGTTAATTACATTGATCTTCTCAGAAAATATTTTGGTGTACGCAAAGTTACATAAAAGTTGTGGATTTTCATGCAATTTTCTTACAATTAGAGGAAATGTTGGATCGAAAAGTTGAATGATTCAAAGAATGCTATATTCCTGAAATGTTTCCTTCGCACGTACTTGCAACGGTGCCTATGCATTGCACAGATGTTCGTTTTTAAATGAAAAGTTGCATTCTTTACAAAAATAAATCTTTTTATTAGTTTGTTTTAAAAGAAAATATTAAAGTAAAATTTCCCAACAATAAACAGTCCTTAATATTAATAAAGACTTCAAGTGCTGCAGTTGGTCTATTATAGCTCTAAAAATTTGTATTTATCTTCATGTTCTTTCATGCATGACTTACAACGTTGAAACACCATGTACCTTTTACTGTCATTATAATGTACAATTATTAAAATTATGAATAGTTTATGTTGTTATTTATGTTTTAGTATTGATTTATAAGTCACCAGTTGTCTGAGAAACCGACTGTATCACTTAAAGGTTAATACGAAATTTACTGAGAATATTCGTATTGAGAACTGTAAAATATTATTAAATGTTATTGAAGACGAAAGGAAATTATGAACAAGCTTGTACAGTAAATAACGACAAAATAACACGAACTTGCATTTATTATGCAAAAGTAGAGGTAAGAAGGTTTCCGAATGATAGAAGCACTGGGTTTGTTAATTTAAATTATTTACCCGTATAATATTAAATATTAATATCAATTATTTTCTTTTTACCTTTGTTTATAATACATTTTTCATAATAAATAGAGAAGCTTTGACCGAGAGACTTTTGCCACGCATTATAGTAAAAACATACTAACACAACATTCGAACATCTTGGTTAATCAACACATTTTACTGAAAATATTTTATACTCAGAATGCAAGCCCGTGAGGAGGATTGAGCTAAATACAAAGATTGTATAAAGTAAAAAAATTCGAGACCTAAAAAATTCACCGTGGAACTCGCAAAGATAGAATTCTAAAGAGGCAGTAACTCTTTAAACTATTCAACGTTTTTCTTCTAACATTTCCTTCTAATTGCAGGAAAAAGCCAGATATATTCTTGTTGCATGGTTCGGCTTATATATAAGTATTAAGTGAAAGTAACTGTAAGAAAGGCGAAATACTTTTTTACGTTATTACAAACTCGATTCAATAAACTATATCAAAATACTTAACCTTCTTACGGCGATGCTGATGTCCATTTTGACTTAACGTTTCTAAAGCTTTACCGAACTATTTAACTTCTGGTATAAAAGTTAATACGTCTTTGTCGACGAAATTAATTTTCTTTTAACCCGTTAACTGTGGAATTTTGTTTACAAAATGCCTAGTTTTGCGCGCAACAAAATAAAAAAATTAAGTGTGTATTCGTTAAACACAAGACGAATGCATCTAGCATATGTTTTAATGAAAAACCAAAGCAAAGCAAAGAAAAATTACATGTTTATGTGAAAAAATAAAGCATTCATCGTTGAAAGAAGTCGTATCATTTCAAGCTTTAAGATGGCGCGCATACTCGTCAAACGCAGTTAACTGGTTAATTAATAATGTGTCGTTAATGGTCGACAGTTTATTTGAGTAATAATCACGTCAGCTGTAACACAACGGAATATTTACTAAATGTAGAGGAAACAATAATAGGACTTTTAATAAAATAAAATAGACGATATATCTATCGCAAATTATATGAAATGTAATATATAGAAATGAAAATAAAATTTGTTACACTTCCTCTTAATGGAGCTTTTCGATTGTTAACACTAAAACTACCGAGCAGTTAAATTGACTTTTTGAGATTTCTCTATAGAAACTCCAAAAGTGAATCTATTGAGACTTTAATTGATTTACAATTCAGTTTGCATATTGCTAAATCAATTTCCGCAACAATTTCTCAGACAAACATTCGTTATCTTTTTAATAATTGCAAGAAGAAGAAGAAATGAGTCGCTTTGATCCGTTTGGTAGTTTTAGTGTTAAGGAGGTGACTAACTTAGTACGTATTCTCGTTTCGATCAATATAATTAATCATTAAAAGCCTGGATAAAATGTAGATGAGTAAACGTTTAAATGGATGTAGGCATCGCCGGGCGTGCAGTCGCAAACAAGTGTCTGCTTTTCGAGTTTGAATGCGTTGCTGTGCAAACACGGCTATGAAACTAAATGTTTCGCGTGTTCCTACGACACATCTGTCGTGCCAGTTACTTTGACCGACACCACCATCGGATGCTTGGTAGTTGATGGTTTTCTGAGCATTTCTCGTGCGCACTACTAATTTCGTAAATTGGAACGCGCACGGAGCTAGGAAAACCTTCTCCTTCGTCCGCACACGCTATGCAGGATGGATCAAATAAATTGTTACAAGCTGTTTTCTCCAAAACCACCGCAGGTATCGATGATATATTTTTTTTAATATTAAATGAAAGGGAGGCTAGGAACCATTCGACCCATAAATTGTTCTAAGGTGACTGCTAAAATGTCTTTTAATGAAACAACATCTCGACTCTGTTTTATTCTGCATAGTGCAAGAGTTAGGACGAAGGATACATTTTTCGAAACTTCGGAGAAGCAAGCAGGAAGTATTCAAGTGAACGTATCTTATAAATGTTCAAAATAATGTGCGTGACTTCTAAAACGTGATTATTACTTGCAACATCGTGTAACAGTTCTTTTTTTACAAGCGATTATAATCTTTCAAGATGACTGTCTATGCAGAATGAAATAAATATTCCAAGTAAACGTTACTTTAAACATTCTATAGGAATTATTCCATCGCGAAGAAACGTTTCTTTTAGCAATCCAGCAGTCGCCACAGAAACATGTATCGTAAACTAAGTGGTTAGCTCTCCTGTTCCATTTAATCGACAAAGACTAAATCGGTATATGCGATGTTTTCGGAGGAAACGGCTCGTGGCGCATCGTTTGGTCCACCCTGCATAGATCTGAGAAGATTAAGTGAGATGATGGCAAGATTAAGTGAGATGCGTGTACGATGAAATGAAAACTAAATTAAATAAGAAAGAAGATCCAATGGACGTGAATTCAGCGATAGTATTTTGTGTTCTAGCGCGCTAATAAAGCGAGTGAAGCAATTGCAAAGCCCCGATGAGGACTCCGCGGGTGGGGACTACTACCAGCTGACATACCCTAACTAGCGAGCACAACCTCTTGGCCCTTCTCTGTCGACTAGCGAACTACCACGCTAATCGCAGCTAAGCAACTAAGTCGCCATACCGTTGAGAACACGGACGTACTACTTAGGGACAAAGATCAGGCATACGGGATCAGACGTACAGGAGAGCAGAGACGTGAACAAACAGAAACAGAAACAGAGACAGAGATTGAGTATGAGAGGGAGAGAAACAGAAAGAAACAGAGAGAAACAGAGAGAAACAGAGAAAGAAATACGTCGACGACACGCGAGTCGTTAAAACCCTCGGCTCGAAAGCTTTTATACACGTTTCAAGTCGGAATGGTAATATCAAAGACACGAAACTCTAGGCTATGTAATCCGTACTTCGTTATCCTCTGTAAACCGTCTAAAGGATGTCCAAAATAATCGCAAAGTGTCGAGAGGAAACGTACATTTACCGAGTATACGCGAGGATACCCTTCCAATATGGTGTACACGATATACCCTCGCTGTCTGTCCCCTTGGTCAGTTTCGTTCGCGCGAACAAGTGCAGACAAACACACGGGCCAATGCTTTTCGCTGTGTCCGAATATTAACGTTAGTTTTCCGAGTTCTCACCGTTTCTCATTTTATGCAAAAGCTCGACCTTCTAACTCTAAGTACGTATTAACCCTTTGCGCTCAAACCTTTTCTCGACCAAAGCTTACAGCGACTCGGTCCTTTAACTTTTTGTTGGCTCTGTGATGTATGATTTCTTTAAAAATAAAATATAAAAGACAACATCATCGATACTACACGAAATTAGACAGGATTGGAATTTAACTATAAATTACAATATTTTGATTCTTTAGTGCAGAAAATTGTTCCTGTACTGAAATGCGTAGTCCGAGTGCAAAGGGTTGAATAACTGGTAAACATTCAAGTCGTGTCTGTGGCTTCGCCAAGAATACTTTTTAATTGTCACGATTCAGTGTCATTCCACTAGTTAGCATGTTTTCACATCTTCGGGAGAGTATTACCATAACCGAACAGACGATGTTCCGCGTGAAGAAGATGAATCGAAACGTGATCCGGTGTGATTTTCCAAGATGTAGAAGCGACTAGATTTACACGATCGGATTCATTCACGTTCAGACGCGTTTTTATCGAGAGAACACTTTCAATCGACTCGAGTAGAGAGTATTTTTATGAAACTACTACGCGGAACACGCGTTTCAGAATTCCTACGTAAAACAGTCGTGACTGAAAAGGGATACTTTGGGGACAGAAAACCGAGGAATACTTTATTCGTAAGAGAACCATGTAATCGTTAAGTAGCAGATGCTAGCACAAGATGACGGCTATGATGATAATGATGCTGATGATGATGATGATGATGATAATGATGATGATGATAATGATGATAATAACAATAATAACACGTAGCATGGATGATAGAGATTATTTTTCCAATTTCATACGAGTCTCCGTCACGTCCAATAACTTTCGTCCTTGTCAAAGTTCCCAAGCCGAACGTGTTCGATCGGTTTGATTGTCCTTCTCTCAATGGATTATTCTAGTCTCCTAACTAATCCAATTATAATCGGATCGCTTTCTCGATATAATATAAGATACCTATATAGAAGTTTGTAGTCGAAGAATTCCATTGTCATTATTATCTGAATGAATATGCTAATTATTAGCGCTAACGGAAACATTCGATCGCCGACAGTATTCTATTCCAACTGGTAGTCGGTTCCAGCTTGTCCCAGCTTTCTTCGTCTCTATTCCCTGTAGGAGCAGTGCAAACAGTATTGGTCGCTTACTGCGTTTTAGTTGCTTTCTCGTTTTACTTACTTTTAATAAATACAACACTTCCATTAGAAGTATACAAGGTGTTCAACCACGCGCGATAGATATTTTATGGACTGTTCCAACGTGTCGAAATGAAACGAAAATCAAGAATGACGAAATTACACATGAGGCTTCCTTTTCAAACTATTAACAATTGAAAATCTGTTCCTGCCTTTTGCATGGTACGTCGTTCTGAGCTGCCCCGTACGCGCCATTATTTTCGGATCGTTATCTCTCCATTTACGTAGAAAATCGCGTAAGTACCATCCGTTGCAGCAAACCTGGCACTCGTGACGTCATAGGGGTGGATACAGTCGCTCCGAGAAATCCAATTGCGAACCCGGAAACGAATTTTCGCTCTCTTCGAGTGCGTGAACATCGACCTGATCAGTGTGCGTGAGTTTCGAATCTGTCCACTCAAACGAGAGGGCCAAGTTCGCTGCAACAGCCGGTACTTAAGGTTTGTTAGTACGAAAAAAATACTGGTAGTTGTACGAATATTTCACAGGGATTGACAAAATAAAATAACGATAGTTTTTGAAAAATCGCAAAAACAAGTTATTCAGTGTTAGAGTCAGTACTATCATTCAAAGCAATCTCCGCTGTTTAACTGACTTAAAGGCACCATCCTTATCGTTTAAAACAAATAAAAAACAGATAGATACGTGAATAAATTTATTTATATGTAGTAGACTTAAAATATAGTTATAGAAAAATGTATTTTCTAACCACGTAAAATATAAGATCACGGGAATTAATATAAATAAAATTTTAATAAAATATGTACTCCGTAAATGGACCGATGGATATAATTCAAAAAGATTTTTACGCGTTAATAAATAGAAAACAAAGCCTCTACCGCAATTTTGTTACTTGTGATTTTTGTCTTGTCTTACAAAATCATTGCGTAAAACATCTATCAAATTCGTGGCCGAACCTCCTGTATACAATAGTGTAGTTACTCATATGTACGATGCCAAATACTTTATTTTTCCATTCCAATTGTACATGATGGATGTTACATACAATTGCTTCCATAAGAGTCCAGGATGTTTCTTCGATAATTAAATCAGCGTGTTATCGCGGTTAGACCTAATTATATAATTATCGGATAATCATTTTCCATAGCGTTTTATATTTTGTTACATGTACATAATAGTTCTCTATGTATATTTAATAGACTCAAGTACATAATACGTTTCCATGTATAACGTAATTTGCAATAATAGAGGTTAGCCCTGTTCTTGGATAGTGTGTGCTAATATACATTCTTGCTGTCGGGAATACATTCTTATATTTCAGTAGGAAATGGAGAACTTCTTCCATCTTCGCATTTCCAGCGGTCGTTCCATAGTAATGAAATATTTCCGAATGTACAACGCCGAGAGTATTATGTACGGATGAAAGAAAGTCTCGCGAGACGACGCAAGGACAAAGAGGGCTCTTTCACTGTGCACTTTGTTTGCTCTCGCTGTCGGAGATCGGATTAATGTGTGTCTGTGTGTGTGTGTGTGCGACCATTTCGGCAAATGGCACGCCACAGTTGAAAATGCATGTGAGAATGGCCGTGTCTTCTTCCACTCTACCACTTGCCGTTACACCCGCACTCTTCCTGTGGGACTTCTTTTCACGACTGCATAATACGTTCCCTCATTTCTGTCTGAGAAGATTCCCTCCTTTTCGACACTTGGCAAAGTCCCATTCCGTCTATTAACCCGACTATAAGTAGGATACTTTGGCATTATACAGTCACTGAACAACTATTTAATAGCCACTGAACAGCCATTGAACAGCGTGCCAGTAGTCCTCGATATTAGCCATTATAGATCATTACTTCGAGGCTTATTATTATTATTATACATGCAGTTGGCCGTGTAAATGTTTATTCCATCTACCGCACTCGATATACGTGTAGGTAAATAAAAACAGAAACGTGATGTTTCAATTAAGAACAGAAATTATGTGATTATTAAGATAGAATAAAGCAACAGTGTCAGAAATTTGTAATCGTTATGCGAAAGAGAACAATGAAGCGAAGTGTTAACGTATCGAATTGATGGAACATAAAGGTATTCGTATGCGTCCAAATTAATTGATTTATTCTTATATTAAACCTAATTATGAACTTCTTCGCACTCTTGTATAAACCATTATTTTAACACTTTTGGATTTTCGAGGTGGTTTTTCGATTTTCATTTTTATCCGTAATTTTTTAATTAAATTTATGCGTAGAAACTATGATGATTTTTACTCTATGACGAATGGCCATTTTACCTATAATAGAATTTGTATTGTACGCAGGTTATTCTGCATCAAATTTTATACGTACTTGTCAACTGTTTACCGCAAATATTACAATTTCATACATATATAATCACATATATAACTTAATGAATAAGAAAATATATAAATCCGACTACAGCTACTGTTAGGTTCAAACGAACCTACGTTCGTTATGTGAAGTTTAACGACTAGAGGTCATTATTTTTATTTTTAATTGTAGGTGCTCTTTAGTTTTAATTATCTTAGCAACTTATAATAAATGTTTCTTTAGCCATTTGCGTCTTACGTCGAGAAAAACTCAATATTCAATTTATCCCAACAGTTAAGTATTTTGCCAATTTCTGCTATGATCATTCGTGATATCATAATTATATTGTATATAAGTATAATTTTAGTGCTTCCCAGATATTCTCAAATAAATTATTGAAGTGCCATATTAAACTATAATTAAAATAAGTAATATCGATGCAAGTTCCAGAATAAAAACTCAAGGAGTCCACGAAACCACAACAAATTAATATATACGAATACAGTTATCTATCTATGACACAGCCCAATATCCTTTAATAGAATAACCCTTCTGCTTACGTCGGTATAAACGTTTCTTTGTGGTACTTTGTATTTGGTTTTCTCCATACTCTTCGATGAGAAGTGTCAAGAAAAAGAATTTACATTCATGTATAAATTTGTACAATCGTTACATTCAGTTGTATCATTGTTTATGTCTGTAAGATTTTCTTAGTATTTTGCTTCAGCTTTTTTAGAACTTGTGGTCTTGTGTTATTGCAAATCAAGAGTTTTTATTATATTTTCTGTTTCACGTCTATATTGGTCTTTTATGAATAATCGAATACTTCTTTCTTGAATGTCCGAAGTAAACTACTGTCAATTAGTAGAACACGATTGCCTTTATAGTATTCATTTTTTAAATGTTCTAAACGTTCCCATACACTTCATCTAACATAAACGTCCATATATGAATATCTTCTCTGTTCAATAACAATTACACATTTCTGTAAGTCTCATCTTGTTCAGCGCAATAAAAATGTATTTTCCCGTTTTTGAAAAGCATGTACCATGTAATTCCCTTTCATATACCAGTGCATTCGTCGAATGCGGTAAGCGAACGAACTGCTACAC